GATAAAAAAAATTAAGTAAAATATGAAAAGAACAACAAAAAGATTAGACACTTAAGTACTAATAAGTAAATGTGAAACTTGTTGGAAGAAGAGTAACTCATAAAACACAACTAATTTTTACTCCATTTGAATTTCGTATAGATAAACAATTTTAGTTAATACATCTCTAGTTGTTAAGTACTCTGAAAAAACGAGACAATGTCATTCATAAAATGCGATTAACTTTTAACACCTACATAAGTGATTTCATCAATTTTATCTATATTAAGACCATTGAAATCGAATTGTAAAAATCGTTAAGAATTTTTTAATAAGCCTATTCTCTCAAATTTGAATTTGATAAATTCATCTCAAAAGAATCACACAAATTTTAAGGTATTAATTCATTAAGAGTAGAAAGCTTTACCTCTAGTGTCGATAAACCTATCAAGTTGTAACTTTGCATTCGAGTCATACATGGGCTTCAATGAAGCAACTCTTCCTCGAAACCGATACATGTAGGCCAGACTTTTATCAGGGAGTGTCATTCTTATTTGTAGTTGTTTAAGATGGATTGACGGGAATGGGCATTTAAACTTGGGCTTTGTTATGTATATACAACATAAAGGAGTCTATTTACTTGGGCCTCAACTTGTACATTGATATACCTTTTCGTCTGAAACTTCGGAGATCTCAACTGGTCGATGAAACCTGACACTGAAAACACAACATCATTCTTGAAAAGCCTGTCAAGTCAGTTTCCCCTCGAACTAACCATAAAAACTAGTAATGGAAGTAAATATTTTGTCTGTCCTTTGTCCTATGTGAGTCCTGGTGGGGCTGTAAATGAGACGAGACAGATTGCGAGTTATTTGAGACGAGATAGATCGCGAGCTACTCGAGATTGATTCGATTAAGGTTCGATAAATACTCGGATCGAATGGACTCGAGCTCGAGCTCGACTTGAGTTCTTAACGAGCCAAAACGAGCTACTTGATATTTAACTCGGAAAGCTCGTGAGCAGCTCGAAAATATAATATATTAATATTTATGTATTGATTTTTTTAAAAAATATATAGTAAAATTTTCATATATTTAAGGTTCATATTCGAGTTTGAGGCTTCAATCGAGTTAAGTTTAAGATTTTTTTTTCTTCATTTCGAGCCTTTTCGAGCTGCTCACGAGCTTCAGTTCAGGATTTCGAGTTCGATCCGAGCTTGAAAATTTTAAGCTTGCGAGTTTTCGAGTCGAGTCGAGCTTCATTTCAGAGTTTTCGAGTCGAGCACATCAATACTCGAACTCGACTCGGCTCGTTTACACCCTTAGTCCCTGGATAGGATAAACCAAGTCAGGAATAGACGGAGGGGTGTGGATGGGATAATTCCTCTTAAAATTTTTAAATTATTGTATATTTTAAAGATGACGTTGCCATATTCGACTAATACGTATGAGTATTGTTAATGATGATCACTATTAAATTAATTTATAAAAGTCTTAATATAAAAATAAATGTTCAAATTATGCCTCGAAAAACTTTTGTCTAAAGAATTTTTTACTAAAAATAAGTGTCTATCGTTTTCTCTATTACCATTTTAGGTACCCAAACGTTAACACCGTTAAAAATCTCCGTTAAATGACATGCGTCACGTTATGATAATTTTGAAATTTTTTATTTAAAATTAAAAAACTTATTTTTTTTCAAATCTTAAAAAAAACAAAATTTTTAAAACTTTAATTTTAATCCCTTTGCCGCCTCCGACCGCCAACAACACCGTTAATCGGTCGAACATCCAACAATGTGTGACTGACCAGCCACCCACGATGAAAACCCCATATTTTTGCAACCGGTCGAACAATAAATATCCCTAAATCTATAAATTCCTAAACATAAATCATTCAAAGCCCTAAACTGAAATATTTCATTTACACCATTTTTGGGTGTTCGATTGGTTGCGAAAGTATGAGGATTTTGTTCGTGGGCTACTGGCGAGTAACACATCGTTGGGTGTTCAACTAATTAACAATGTTGGTTGCGGCTGGAGGTGGTAACGAGATTAAAATTAAAGTTTTAAAAGTCTTGGGTTTTTTTAAGATATGAAAAAATTAAAGTTTTTTTAAATATAATTTTTGTTTTTTATTTTAAATAAAATTATCAAAATTACCAAAATATGACACATGTCACTTAACAGATATTTTTAACGACAGTTAATGTCCAAACACCTAAAATGGTAATGGAAAAATCGTTAGGTACCTATTTTTAGGAAAAAATCTTTAGGCACTAAATCGTTTTTCGATGCATAATTTAGACACTTATTTCAGCATTAAGCCTTTATAAAACGTTACATTATAAAATACTAAACATATAATTATAAATTAGTTAAAAATCTAAATATAATTTAATTTAATTTAATTAAAATAAAATATTTATAAAATATTAGTTTTTATAATGTTATTTTAATTATAATTAGATCAAATATTAATTTGGGAAATTTATAAACCCTTATTTATTTTCAGTATAAAACGTTAAATTATAAAGTACTAAACGTATAATTATAAATTAGTTAAAAATCTAAATGTAATTTAATTAAAATAAAATATTTATAAAATATTAGTTTTTATAATGTTAAATTACCCTAATTATTTCAGTATTAAGCAATTATAAAACGTTAAATTATAAAGTATTAAACGTATAACTATAAATTAATTAAAAATCTAAATGTAATTTAATTTAAATAAAATATTAGTTTTATAATGTTATTTTAATTATAATTAGATCAAATATTAATTGGAGAAATTTATAAACCCTAATTTATTTTCATACCTTTGAAGCTCATGCCGTCGCTATCGCTGTCACCTTCGTCGTCCCACCATCGGTATCATCTTTCACCAGCGTCGAACGACAAAGACTAAATTGACGGTGAAAGATGATACTGATGGCGGCGACGACGGTGGTGGGGACGACGACAATGACAGCGATGGCTACGACGACGGTGGCGACGACAGTAACAACGATGATGGCTTTAAAGCTATGAAAATAATTTAGGGTTTATAAATTTCTCAAATTAATATTTGATCTAATTATAATTAAAATAAGATTATAAACACTATTGTTTTATAAATATTGTATTTTAATTAATTACATTTAAATTTTTAATTAATTTATAATTATACGTTTAGTAATTTATAATTTAACGTTTTATAAATTAATTTAATAGTGATAATCTTTAATCGTGCTCTTCTACACTTGACGAGCGTTGTAGAATTTTTCATATTTTAAATATTTTTTTGTAATTTTTTTATAATATGTTTTCATCTTAAAATTTTATAAGTTTATTTTCGTTAAAAGTTTTAGAAATTCGCCCTAACAGAAATCCTACATCCATCCCTGGGTGTGATGCTGTTACAACTTGGCAAGATCAATCCGGAGAAATTGTGATTTTGTAGGTGCTGCTTCCATGTTACAGAGCGATTCAAGGCTTAGGCCATTGGACAAACTATTTGTTTCCCCTCCCTATAAATTTGCATGTTCTTAGTAATGTTCATTGCTTGGTTTAGGTCCACCTCGCCGGAGGACACAAGCATGTGAAGAAACAAGTTCTGAGTTGCAGGTTATGGTTTTGTCCTAGATGAAGCGGATGGGTCCCTTGTAAAGGGGTTTTTGACAAAGGAAAAAGGTAACCATCCCATGTGTGTGTTAGCAGTTACGTACAAATTATAAGGGACTAGAAACATGCATTACTATGTATATCAGTGTTGTCCAAAGCACCCTGTTGTTAATTTCTGAGTTAGTTTCAATGCGGGCTGTCTCTTGTATGTTGTATATATTGGGACTGTGAAGAGAAAATGCCCCATGGCTTTTACTTGGTTTTGAAATGGGAGAATGCAAGGACTTGAATCTCAGACAATACCAATTGGCTCAAGGCTGGGATCTCCTAAAATCTTAAAAGTTTGCCCTTTAACATAAAATTCAGAAGGAAACTCGACTCCAGTGTGTAGTGGATACAAGAGGGTGTTGGGAAACACAAGCTTAGGGAAGTTTGAGTTTTGTGTTCGGTGAAAGCAATGTTTGATGTATTGTAAAAATTCCAAATAGCGGGCGCAGTTGTTATGTGGAGAGGAGTTTGATTAGTCTTTTGTCTGTAATAAGCTTCACAGATATGAATTTGCCTTATCCGTTTTAGAACTGAGTATTCATTGGCATGATTTAACTTTATTCTGTTAAAGAAATATATTAACAATTTGTAAAACGTTTTAGTTTTGTATTTAAAATTACCAGATCTACGTGTTTAATAATATTCATGATGCCTGGAGACAGATCTCATGCAGAAAGTTTGCTCCTCGTGAAGAAAAGAGTTAAAATCCCAGATTTGCTCTAAACTTGGTAATCCCACACTACTAACTGAATAATATATTTGTAATAAGATTACAATAGCAGCCAATGAAATAATATACTTAAAACAGGTAGTTCGCTTACAAGTAAACAGAGCTTTATGGACTTCTAAGGTTTTCCCCTTTTTCTTTTTAATGAGCTTCTGAGTTAATATACATAAAACAGATAATTAGGACATGAGAGCTTTGAGGGTGGTCTGCTCGAATCCATGTGCCGCCTTGGATTATTCATTTACAATATGTTTGGTCAATGAAAAAAAGATAACAACAATAATACAAAGAATTTTAGGAATGAAGGGAATAGTGGTGTGTAGTGGGTAAGGGTGGGAGCTGGGTTCCATAGGGTCCTACTTTCGATTAGAACCTTATTTGGGGGGGGGGCAACTTGCAAATCTCAAGCATTGAATCAGTGGGCCTTTCTTTACCCTTTTCATTTGATGCTTATTTGTAATGCACCCTTCCATGAGATAAAGAGTTTGGGAACTGCAAAACTGTTTTAATGCCACACTTTCACCCTTTTTACTATGAATGGAACCTTAAAGAGACCCAGCAATGATGGAATCTAGAGAAAGGAAGCTGTATCATTTAACTTAAGGAATTATGGTACAAACACTGTTAAAAGAACCAAAAGTAAAAATTAGATGCCCCATCATTCTCGTTATACAAAATGCCCAAAGAAAACAAAACTTGGGCCTTTGGAGAGGGCTCTGTCAGCCTGTGCTACCTGTTTTCTTTCCCATTTTTTTTTTTGGTGAGTATCATTATTTTTACAAGAATAAAGCTAATTTCCTAGCTGTTGGTGAGGATTATTATAAGTTTTTAGAACTGTGAAAGTGAAATGCAGCGTCTATGGCGAGCAATGCTTCTCTTTTTGAGCTGCTTATTTTCCTCTTTCCACACAGTGCCGATGTCTTGTGCAATCCTCATGGCATCTAAGGAAGCACCTGAGAGCCCTCTCCTGGTGAACCCAGCTGCATAAAGCCCAGCTTTCCCTTTCCACCCATGTGGGAATTGTGCCTTTGGGTATCCATTTTTAGCAAAGAACTCACCTTCCTGTATCATCATGTTACATCATTAGTCCATTGGTCTAATCTATGTATAGACTTATAAATTAAAATCTGCAAGGAAAATAGAATATTTCTCACCTGAAGCCATGAGGGAACATTGCTGCGGTATCCGGTAGCCAAAACAACCGAATCGATATCGAGTTTTTCGCCATTAAAGAGCTCGACTTGACCACGTGAGAAACGCTTGATTCCAGGGACGACATTAATGTCACCTGATCTGATTTTCTCCAATGCACCGATGTCCAATACAGGGGTTTTCCCTTGTGTGTTCTTGAGTTCCAATGGACCAGTTGATGGCCTTTTGAGTCCATATTTTTCAGTGTTTCCCAGAACCAACCAGGCCAGAATCAACATGAGCTTGTCAACAAGCCAAAGGGGTAGCCATTTCATCATCAAAACAGCCAATTCGAATGTCGATTTCCCGAAAATTTCTCTTGGCAAGACATGAACCTGTATGGGAAAAAAACAAATAAACAGAACATTAGAATTCATTCTTCTTGAAAGAATATCCGAGAAGGAAACTTTTTTTTCTGATGACTTACCGAGCTGCGAACCACCATTGAAGGTGAAGCATTGTGGTTGCAAAGATCAAGAGAAACTTCCATCCCGGTGTTACCGCAGCCGACGACAAGTACTTTCTGCCCCTTGAATTTTTCACCAGACTTATAATCACAAGCGTGGATAACGTCACCACCAAACTCAGACAATCCTTCAATGTCTGGCATCACGGACTCAGCATTTTCGCCGGTGGCCACAATAAGCCATCGGCAAATGTATTCGAGCTCGGTCTTGTTCGAGCCAACTGTCTTCACCCTCCAGAAACCACTGGTCTCATCGTACCTAGCTGACTGAACACACTCATTGAACTTTGGGTTGATATCAAAATGCTTGGCATATGACTCGAGGTACTCAATGAACTGTCTCTTTGTTGGGTACTCCGGGTAGTCCTCTGGGAAAGCTAGTTTAGGGAGTTGGCAGAATTGTTTTGGAAGGTGAAGCTTTAGCCTGTCGTAGGTTCGTTTTTGCCACAAAGATGCAATGCAATCAGCTCTTTCGACCACAGCAAAGGGCACCCCTTGTTCCTTTAGACAAGCGGCGGCTGCCAGCCCCGATGGTCCTGCACCAACGATAATCGGACCATTGACCAAAGTCCATTTAGGCTGAAACAAATCTTGGTCTTGATCAACAAGACGAAACAGATTCTCCATTGTCTTTGACTAAGCTTTTATAAACACAAGAAAGAGTTGAGATTAGAGAGAAATAATAAGAAGAAAAGATGATCTTTGATTTTTTTAAGGAGAGAATTGGTTGTTGTTGTTGTTGGTTTGGAGGGAGAGGATGGGATGGGGGCTGCTTAAATAGGGGAGCTGCTAATGAAAGGGCCATGTTAAAATAAAGGGGTCAGTCTCAAATCATAAGCCAATGGTTACCTTTTGTTATTTTATGGAATAATTCAATAGATTTTATATTCATATTATGCTTAAACAAAGTAGATTGGTATAAAATAAGCAAGAAGAGAGGAAACTTGGGTTACCAATGGGAACACGGAGTTTCAATGCTTTTGATTCCCAACATCAAATGTGCTTGTAAATTTAATTGCAAGTTTGAGATTCCATATTATTTCTATATCAATTATTGTATATGCTCCACCAATTAGGGATAAATATTCAATCGAATTTATAAGTAGTGTTTTATTATTTAAATTTAATTTAAAATTTTATCAAGTCGAGCTTATAAAATTTAAATCGAAGATATAATATACATATATAGTACTTAGTATTCTTTTTTATATGGATAAATGAGATGTATAATATTATTTTAAATCAAATATCATCAAAAATTATATGATACTTTTATAATATTATTTTTAAAAAAATATATTTTTGAGGAAAAAAGTATTGATCGTGATCAAATTATAAAAAATAATAAAAACGATTCTATTCTAATTTTCAATTTTTCGTTTAATCGATCTTTGTAAATTTAAAATTAATTCAGATTCAAAATTTATATTAAAAATTTGTTAACTTGAATAATTTGAAATTTAAAAAAAAAATAAATAAAGTTGTTATTCACCCTACTACCAACTTAATAAACTTTAATAGTAAGCGAAGTTTGATAAGATCACATTTGAGGTAAAATGGGTTAAATTAACCAAAGATGAAGTAGAGAATTAGGAAGCAAAGAAATTGACATTACATCCTCTTATGATTCTAATGGACCCACTAGAATAGACTTCTTTCATGACAGATAAAAAAAATAAAAATGGGGGAATAAATTAAATAATTCAAAATCTATGCCAACGTGGAAAAGAGAGGGTGCTGAGTAGTATGTAGGCGATGTTCCCACGTGGATTAGACGAGTGAAGTTGGTTTACAGTGTCACGATCGTGGGGTAGAGTGCCCCCACATGAGCCCCCCTTCAATAGCCGTAGGGATTGCGACTTGTAAGGCAGTTTCGACCCACAAAAGCCCCTTTCTGCCGACTTACCACGTCTTCAACAAATTTGCTCAATGGCCTTGGGATCACAACGATGATTAGACCTTTGAACCTTCATATGATTCATTTGCCTGATTTTTTTCTTCTAAAAAATATGGCGTTATAATCTATTTTAAAGAAGAAAAGGGTATAATATTATATTGCACACATATTTATCACGCACATCGAGCAACGAGGGAAAAAAAGCTAGGAATTTGGATAAATATATATGTGAGTGGGAAGAGAGAATATTGTTTATGCATGGTAAAGTAGAGGGATGTATAATCTAGAGGTTCAAAGTATATGAACACACGATTCTGAAACATTCAAGGTACGTGGAAGGCCGATAAACAATGTCGCTTTCGGTGAATGCTTGTGACTTTGACACGCTCCAATGCATCGCATTATATTCCTTCTTTTGAGGTTTAGGGTTTTTGTTTATTATTATGGTTGATGGAACGATTATATTGTATTGGTTGACGGTAATTTATCTTTTCTGATTTAGTTGGAGAATTATAATCTGTGGTCGATTGATAATGTTAAGGCTCAAGTAAAGTAGGGTCGAAAGAGAAGAAGCTAAAAGTGCAAAAGATAGGAGGAGGAAAGTTAATGATAGGCAGATCCCATGCACAGCCTTGCATCGCTCCACACCCAACGTTGTTTTTTTTCTCTAACCTTTTGGCTTGGATTATAAATCCTTTTTTTGGGCAGTCGGCGGTGTAGGTTGCTTTTGGTAGGACTGAAATTCGAGTTTGCGCGTACGAAATATTCATTCATAAGCCCTTTTCGATAATATAATGGCAATGCCAACCTTATTTATAAAGTATACACTCCGAAAGCTAATTTTGCTAACATCTATAATTATAAATATTAGTCACGCTTAATCAAAAGTTGTAGTTGTCATCCATTGCCACATAATATATGAATATCAATTGCCTTCCTCTCTCACCCCTCCACACTATTTTAATTATGGATGTAAACGGATTCAACGTTTAGCGAATCATTCTGCCAAAAATTTACTTATGTTAGTTTATTTATTAAATGAACGAACATTAATAAGATTTTCTATTCATTTAATTACATGAACAAATATGAATAAAGGGCTCGTTCGTGAACGTTCGATAATACATTCGTTTATGTTCGTTTACTTAATTAAACTTATATTTATGTTCGTTTATTTATATATTTTATGTTGAGTCGTTTATGTTCGTTACGTTCATTTATCATTTTAACAAATGATTATGAACAAACATAATAAGCTACATTTCTTAACGAACGAACACAATCAAAAAAATGTATTCGTTTAATTGTTCGTGTTCGTTTATTTATTCAGTTAAAGTTAAACAAACGAATATGAACATATTTAATTTTGTTGATATTCGTTTGATTCATTTACCGAGCTAATGTTCAAACCCTCCGTCCAATCCAAGTTCGTGAAATTTTAATTAACTTGAAAATTTATAGATTTTAGTATATTTAAATATAATTATTTTTAATAATATTATTTTATAATCCATTATTTTACTAAGTTTGGTAGAATCTCTACATATGCTTCTAATCTTTCCATATGTATTATATAGATTAGGATTCACTTACACTTAGTGTAAATTTTTTAAGTTTTACACCTTTTAAGGATCGTTGGATGAGGAGATATCAAAAGCTGAGATTAACTCATTATTTTTTTCCAGTTAATATCTTCACATTTCATACTGTTAATCTCAACCTTTGATTCTCCTCATCCAACGATCCTAAAAAATATATAAATACTATGTAATTGGATCTTGCCCCATATTATATATATATATATATATATATATTTGTCTAGGACCTTCTTGGTTGGCTCATTGACTTCAACTATCCTAAAATTAGGGTGAAACGAAATTTTTTTGCATAAAATTAAATTATAAATTTTTAGATGTCGAAATAAAATTAATTTTTAGGTGAAATATAAATTTATTATTTTTTAATTTTAATTTTTTTAGAGAAATCACTAATTTTATTCAAAATAGGAGATATTCTAAATTACAATAAAGATTTATAATTATAATTGTATATTAAGCACATAATTGGAACAATTTCCTATAATAATTGAAACAAAAATAACAACTTAAGATCACATAAGGACCATACAAGGAAAGATTAAAATCTAATAAAAAAAACTCGAACAAAGATAGATACAAACATATCTAATCGCATTGGCAAACGAACCACAAAAAAGATCAAACTGCTGAAAGACTACTAACAAACCATAAATCAGACTCAAACTAATTAAATTTTAAAATTTACCATTAAAGAGGGTTAAGTTCTCTCTCAAACCCCTATTTCTACTTTTAATATGAGTCGAGCGAAATAAAGGGGAAGCTTTCTCAACACTTATTTTTACCTTCATAATATATATGGATTTGTGTGATTATAATTTTAGGTTTTAGGGTTGTCTAGAAATATTTTTAAATTTTAAAGTATAAAAAATATAAACTTTTATTAAAAATTATGCAAAGTTTAGGCTCGTATCATGATTAATAGAGGGCCCCAAAAGATTACAAGAAGTCCCATCTCCATAATTATCATTCATTAAAAAAAATTAGCTCACCATTTCTCTCTCTCTCTCTCAAAGTAGCATATTTTTTTTTGAATAGCTCAAAGTAGCATATGTATAAAAAATACATGCACACTAATGTCACCTACTACTTTCACATTTTGTATTACTATTATTATTAGAATATCGTAAAAGGTAAAATTTTAAGAAATATTCCATATGCAAAAGTATAATATAAAACTTTAACCACTATTCAAAGCCTAATTCTCCTATATTTAATTGTACCTTCCACTTGTATAAAAAATATATATGATTATAGAAAAAATTTAACCCAAGTTTAAAATCGTTTTAATTTGTTAAATTAAATTGAATTTCGATCTGTTGAATAATTAAATTATAAGTGTTTTGGTCCTAACTGATTATTCTAATAAAAGACTAATAGTCAAATGATAGTTTCAATTACATGCATATTATAAATTACAAGATAGAAGGAATATGAAAGCACATGACAACATGAGAGCTCTCGAAGAATATATGGCAAAGCCTCAATCAAAGTCCTCAACAAATATTATATATGAGCACATTGAAAATAATATATTTTACATATTAAATAATTTAATTTCCATTAACAAGTCATTAGTTAGAAGCTTGGAAAGATTTAGAAGATCTTCTAGTCCAAAACCTTCGAAGCTACAAGACAATATCAATTAATCTGAATTGGAATGTTTAGTGTCATGTGTTTGGATTTGAGAGGAACATAAATCTTAGTAGAAATGATTGGTACCCAAATTGCCTATTTATTTTAGAGGGAAGGATTCTTTTGCTGATTCTTCATACCCTTGAAGTTAATTGGATTAGTATTAGTGATTACAGTGTTGTGGACGGATTTTTTTGGGGGGAGGGGGAAATATGAATATTACAACCTATTTGAAAGAATAAAATCTGAGGAAATATGGTTTGTGCTGTAAGATGCATTTTGCTGGTTGCAGTTGTGAGTTGTGGCATAAATATTGTGGTTTGTCACTTAGTTTTCATGAACAAATTAAAACATATAGTTATCTATCTGACGTACATATTTTATTTGCATGATTTTGTTTGTATATCTTGCAGCAAGATCCAGCATGAGAGATGTCACTTTCTCTTGCTAAAGAGCTTAAATTAAAAAGAACTGGGTATATTTGGAGGAGTGATTCACAAAACTCATTACTTAATTTAAGTTCAGTTTTTCATTCAAATAGGAGATAGTTTTATTAGAAAAAGAGTAAATATTTAAAATTACCATGAAGCTTTATAATTAT